TCATGCCTGGTACTGGGGTTTTGTTACTCTCTGGTTCTTGAGGGGGAGCATTGTTAACCCAAGTGACTCCACAGATAATTGCTTAGCAATGTTTATTGTTGGGCTATTCATATTAGCTAGGAATAGAAACAACCTAAATGAGGAATAGGTGATAAAAATGTGGTTCATATACACTATGGAATGGTATTCAGCTACAAAAAAAAAAAAATGAAATCATACAAGTAAATGGATGGAGCTAGTAAAGATTATATGGAGTGAGGTAACTCAGACCCAGAAAGACAAATGCTACATGTTCTCACTCATCATTTACTGGTAATTTGAGTGGTAACATACAAAATAACATCACTCACTCTATGACATTTGTTGTCATAGCAACAAATTACCACAAATTTAGTGTCTTAAAATCTAAGTATAGTCTCATAACTTACTAGAGCTCAGAAAACAAAGAGAATCTTATGAAAATTACACTAAATGCCAGAGAGTTGATTCCCTGGAGATTCCATGGAAACATACGTTCTTCCTCTCTTTCAATTTCTAGAGGGCATCAGTGGCCCTAGATTTGTGGCTTCTGCTGCCACAGTGCCTGTTCCTCCAGCCCTATGTAAGAATCTATGCCTCTCTTATAAGGATTGCTGCAAGCTCATCAGGCCTACCTGAGTAGTTCAAGATAAATTAACCTCAATATCCTTTATTTTTTCATTTTGTAATTGACATAAAGTGAGTAATTGGTTTGTTTGCTTTCATGCATAATTGTTTTATTGTTCTTCCCCCTAACCTCTTCCCATTCCCTCACTGATCTCTCTAATTACTCTTCTATCTCCAGTGGTTCCCTTTCTGCTTTCATCTCACATGTGGTCTATATATATATATATTGCCATGTAAGGTAGCAGGGGTTCAAGGTATTTAGAGTTAAGATATAGGCACATATGGAAGGCTATAGTTGGCTCATTAAATATCTCTAGATTTCTTGATCACAAATCAGCCAGAGAGGGGTTTTTATAATTTAGAAACAACAGAAATGGATAGATATGTCTACTTTAGAGAAAACTTCCATAAATCAAACCTTACCATTAAAGTACTTTCTTTCCAGCAAAAACAAACCACACTGGCTATCAAGGATATTTTTTTAGTGTTCATTTCTTCTACCTATCAACTCTACTTTGGGGAAGCCACCTAAAATACAGTAGAGGAAAATGCTTATGTCAAACATTAGAAAAATGTAGTATCTTACAAACAGAGAAATCTTAGAATCAAAATATGTCAAGCTATTCAAAACGTGTGCCTGTGGAGAACATGTTTTCACTTAGAAAGGTCTACGACAAGGGCAACTGTGTGGGTAAAATTTGCAAGGGGTGAAGGAGCATGCTACTCAGACCTGGACTTTCTGATTTTTTTTTTTTTTTTTTTTGCAAATTGCATTTGTATTGATGACTTAGGTGGACAATTATTGGGCTTGGTTGGTACTGACTTCAAATAACACCAAAGGATAACCATGGGCAAAGTTCAACCAGTGCACTGCTGTGGCTCTGCCAAGTGTTAACATTTGCAGGCTTGTATTTCTGAACCATTGACTAATAACAAGCAGTTGCTTGCCCTGAGTCCTGGGGTCGTCCCTGCAGCCTTCGCTTCCCTGGGCCCTTTCTTGGGACCTTCATTATGATTCTCCTCTCTATTGAGCAACTAAAACGTCCTACTTTCGGCTTCTAGGAAGCTGCTCCAGTGCTCTGGATTTCATGTGCTCTCACTAATGCCTCTCCTATACTGGTTAATGTATATTTATCACCATCCCCCGTACTGAGTGAACGATCAAATTTTTTGATCTTCTATGGTCTGTGAAAATAAATAAATAAATAAACCCCCAAATCAAAACAAATCAACCAACCAACCAAACAAACAACCCTCCATTTCATTTTGCACTGAATTGCTGTCATTCATATGTTCCCTTTCTCATTGTAAAGCCCTGTAGGTGCTGGAGATATGGCTCAGTTGATGGAGTGTTCAATTAGCATTTCAGAAACTCTGGATTGGATCACCATAAATAGGGCATTGTGGTCCAAGCTTGTAACCCTGGCACTTTGGAGGCAGAAGAAGAGATAATAAGAAATTCAAGGTCATCCTTGGCTATGTAGTAAGTTTACCAGCCTGGGCTGCATGAAATCACGCCTAAATATAAAACAAAATGATAACAAGAAGATCCCATGCCACAACAAATGTGATAGTGTGTGTAGTGTGGTTCTGAAATGCACACTTTCATTTTCTTTTGTTGAATTCCCATTATGGTCTTAGATACTCTTATTTTTATGATTAAAATATTATGAACTATCCAAGCTTCTATTTTTTTATGTCTGTTTTGCACATTGGCTAAAATTTAGTTTATCTTGAATTGATTGATTTAATCATATTATTTTTATTTTCTTTAATAGTTTCCTACCTCCTATAAAACAGATGCCTGTTGTGAAAAATGTTGCCTGTTGAACAAAGAATGAAGGGACATAGAATAAAATATTGTATGTTTGATATTGGCTCAGTAGCATAATACTACTGCATTAAGAGATGCAAAGAAATGGTCAAATATGCAAAGGTTTTATCATAGGGAAATTACTGTGGTGAAAAAAAATGGGAAGGAGGAGAACTATTTAGTCACAGTGCAAGTTAATTTCAGGTGAAGAAAAAAATAGGAAGTAGTGTGAGTGTAGTGATCCAAGACTGCTATGCAAAGCAGTATTGTAAAGTCCATCAGAGAGTCTTGTATCTTCCAGGAATAAGCCTACTTAGGCATCTTAGGTTGGGGTTAGCACAAAAGCAGTGATGAATTGTCAGAGTCCAGAGATTGGAGCCTCTTGCTCAATTACAACCGTTATCATTGGAGACACATTATAATACTTCATGGCCCATGAAAATTTCCTTTCCGCAAGGCTCTCGTGGCAGAAGAATGTCATGGCTTCAGACCCTAGTATTTTGCTGAGATCTCAAAGCTGAGACATGTCAAAGCATATGCATATCCACAAAACTAAGAGAAGAAGAAATATGCTAATCAGTCATAATGTTGGTTTCACAAGAAGAGCAATGAAATAAAGATATACAATGGTCAGGTGGAGGGAGTGAATGGAGAGTATGCAGGAGAGACAGTTGGAATTGGGGAGTATGGGAAGTGTGTGAACGCCTTAAGCAGTGGAAACTTTATGGAATCTATGAGGAGGACCCTAGTGAGGATTCCTAGTAATGGAGGTTACAGAGTCTGAAAAAAAGTCAGCTATCTTTAGTAGACAGGCAAGGCTTCCAGTGGTGGGACTGGGCTGCATTTGGCTGATCTGTTGGCTGAAGGGGTCCTGTGGAGCCTAGACTTATGATAGGACAGAGGGGGATTGGGATCCGTCCCTGGTGCATGAGCTGGCTTTTTGGAGCCCAGTGCCTAGGGTGTGACATCTTGCATAGCCTTGGTGCTGGGGGTCAAGGGGGGGGTCTTGGACTTGCCTCAGCTGAGTGTGCCAGGCTCTGCTGACTCCCCAAGGGAAAACTTGACTTAGGAAATGTGGGAATGGGGGTGAGTTAGGGGGAAGGCTAGGGGGTGGGAAGAGGGAAGAGGGGGGGGGATCTGTGGTTGGTATGTAAAGTAAATAGAAAATTTCTTAATAATTAAAAAAACCTGATACCAGGGTCCCATTGTCAAAGACAGCTTCCAGTTAGCTCATTGAATGTAGAGAGGTAGAGCTGGTACCCACTTGGAACCTTCACCCCTGTATTCTAATCTCTTTGGCACAAGAAGGTACTCTACAGGCTACAGGAAAAGAAACCTGGACACCTTCCCAGTCACAAAACCCTTGACAGGCAATCTCTCCTGCCTGCAATATATACTGGGACAATGGTGGCACAGAACATGTGGGAGTGGCCAACCAATGTTTGGTTTCACTTGAGGCCCACCCTACAAAAGGGAGTCCTTTCCCTACACTGCCTGGATGACTAGGACGCCAAGACTGGGTAGCTCAGAGACCTAGGGTAGAACCAAACACTACTGGAGGAAAAATCAATGAAGTGATTCCAACTAATCTCTGCTGTACTCAAAGATCTGTGCCTTTTCCGGTCATCGTCAGAGATACTTCCTCCAGCAGCAGATGGGAGCGGGTGCAAAGACCCACAGCCAGACGTTATGTGGACAGAGTCTAAATTGGAGGTCTCCAACTGGTCCCTCCCCTCAGAGACTGGGAACTCCATGGAAGAGGCAAAGACTTTAGGAGTCAGAGTGCATTGAGGATGCCAGAATAACATGGCCAACTGCATCAACTAAGCAGAGTTCGCACAGGGTCACAGAGACTGAAGTGGCCTGTAAGGGTCTGCACCAGGTCCTCTGCATATGTATTTGCTGTTAGCTTGATGTTTTCATGGGACTCCTGACTGTGGGAATGGGTGTGTCTCTGACTCTTTTGCCTGATCTTGGGACTCATTTCCTCTTACTGGGTTGCCTTGTCTGGGCTCAATATGAGGGCTTTTGCCTGTCTTATTGTAACTTGCTATGCCGAGTTTGTTTGATATCCCTGGGAGGCCTCTTTTCTGAAGAGGAAATGGAGAAGAAGTGGATTTGGGGGAGAGGGGAGTTTTGAGGGAGGTGGGAGCAGAGGAGGTAGGGGAAATTGTGTTTGGGATGTAGTGTATGAGAGAAGAATCTATTTTCAATAAAAAAGTTTTTGCTTTTGTTTTTCAAATTGTCAGGCATGATTTAATTAAGAAAATATAAGTCTATAACAAATACACTTTACACATGTGCATAGGATATAAGAGAATCCATGCTTTGTCAATGCAAAGAAAAAAGATCCAAGAAACTTAAAACTTTCTGCGTGGGATCAAAGAAAGGAAAATGCATGTATTATAATCTTTTAAAAAATGTTATGTTTATATTTACTATTTTATGTGTATAGTATTTTGCATGCATGAATATATGTGTACCATGTGCATGCTTGGTGCCCAAGGAGGTCAAAAGAGAGGGCATCAGAGCACCTAGAACTGGAGTTTTAGACAGTTGTAAGCTGCCATGTGAGTGCTGGGATTGATCCCGGCTTTCCTAAAGAGCAACAGGTGCTTTTAACCACTGAGCCACCTCTCCAGCCCTTTGTTTCAGGCATTGTGGTAGGTGTTTTCACATATATTAAATTAAAATATGTAACTCTTTATGTCTCTAGTCCTCATACCAACCTTCCACATGGGTGTTAATATCCTTGTAGATATTATGTAATTTCTGCATTCTAAATTCCAAACACAGAGACTAGAATCTTCAGCCTTGCTAAGGAAATGCCTCATTTTAACTCTTCATTGTGTTTTGTAGAACACATCTTTTGTACTGGTTTATTGATAACACAATTAGTAAAACAATTAATGTTTGTATTTATTTTCTACCCCACACTCTGTGCCCCCATTTTCCTTAATTCATTCTTAAAAATAATTAAGGATTCTGTTGGAGATATGAAGTTAAAAAATATGATGTAATTTGTGTTAAGATATCATAATGAATAAATAGAAGAAACATAATGTATACAAGTCTGTTGGTAAAATTGCCAACGATATTCTTGGAATGTGGTGTGTGTGTGTGTGTGTATGTGTGTGTATGTGTGTTTCCACAATCATCAGTGTTTGGCTTATTAATGCAGTACTTCTTGTTATCTATCTTTTCCAAATAAAAACTAACCATTGTTTGAGGATAATTATAGATACAATTGCTGATCACTATGCATAATCACCTCAGTTAACCAACCAGCTGAATAGAGTAGTATTATTACCATCTTTAAACAAAGTTAGTAATAGAGGTCTGAGTGGATTTGGTTCACTGGGAGCAGATATTGAGATGACCAGGAATCCACATCTGTGTAAAGACAGAGGTGATGCAGAACAGGGGAGAAATTAAACTGTGGTGCAGGCCTGACCACCTTGGCCAATTCAATGATGCATTCTATCACAAGAACGCCCCAGCAGCGTTCCATGTTGAGTGAAAATAGACAATGCTTTGTACACTTCTCTTGGTCCATTGTTATGTGCAGGGTGTCAAGGACAGAATGACCTTGGGTAAAGCACTTCTCAATGGAGAACACACTGAGGGAGTTAATGTCTGAGGCTTGTGTTAACTGCTGTCCCCAGAACAGTAAACACATCCATAGAGCACAATCTTGTAGGGCATCCTTGGGTCTACCTTGGGTTCTAAGACTTTAAAAAGCATGACATCTAGTGAGTATCAAATCTTTGATACCACATCTCAAAAGTTCACCAGTTCCACCAACAAGTCAATTTCTAACCATCCTTTCAATTGAATGTGTCCGAACCATGTTTATATCTTTTTCAGAATTGCACTCTGGCCACAGTTCTGTGGGATCTGAATTCAGTAGGTTAAGTGCAAGACCTAGGAATCAGTCATTTTCTAACAAGTACTCAGGCTGATTGTAAAGAGCAGTCATGTATAGATGCCACTGCTAGCAATAACATTAGTGCGGAAATCGATACATTAGAATGAGAATGGTTTTAGATGTGGGGTGACGCTATGGAGTATTATCTGGGTGTGCGCTAAAAAAGTCATGACTAAGGAGGGTCTGATGTTGTCGAACATTATTGCATCTAAGTCTGTGACTGCTGTTTTTCTGAACACCTGGATGAAATACTACAGAAAATAAAGTTGCTTTATGCTTCACAGTAGTAACTGAGTCAGCAAGTAAGTGGAATAATTACTGTGCAAGTGGCTCCTGGGTGTTTGTAAAGATAATTTGCATTTTGCCAAATTCTATTTTACTTTTTGTCATTCAACATACAACTAGCAGTTTGTGTTCTAAAGTTCATGTTTTAAAACTGTTCCCAGTATGCAACAAATCACTTCTAAGAATGCAGTAAACTCTTTCAATATGTGCATTGACATGGAAATTACAATTTTCAGATCAAATGATACATGATTACGGTGGGATGGTTTGAGATAAAAAGCCTAGCTACTGGATAAGTTATAAACACAAAGCAATACTGACTTGTCATTGAGCAATGCATTTCTGAATCTGGCTTCTTTCAGTTCTTTCCTAGAATAAAAAGGAGAGTGAGATTCTGAGGCAAAGTCTTGGCTAGTGGTACTCTCAGTACTGCCAGCTGTGAAGTGCTAAATAGCCAGTCTGTAGCCTCGGCTGGCCTCGAACTCATAGAGATCTGCCTGGTTCTCCGAGTGCTGGGATTAAAGGCGTGCACCACCATGGCCTGGCCAGGATGGACTCCTTTATATGACAAAAGAAATCATGAGGCTGATGGTTCAGCCAGTAAAATACCTGCTGTGCTCAAATGAGGACTTTAATTCAGATCCCCAGAAACCACATAAAAGGATAGATACAGTGATACGTATTTGTAATCCCAGTGCTGGGAAGTGAGTGAGAGAGACAGATGGATTCCTGGAGCTCATTTCCAGTTCACTCTAGTCAAATCGATGAGCTTCTGGTTCAGTGAGAAGCCCTGTCTACAAATATAAGGTGGAAAATGACTGAGAAGGAAACCTGATCCATGAACTCGCTCGGGAGAATGCACACAGCATGTCTACACATCTACATGAACACTTACATACATGACACACACATCAAAAGCAGAAGCAGAAGCAGGAGGAGAGAGAGAACAATTCCCAGAGCAGAGAATGATGAAAGTCTGTACTTGACAGGCTTTACTTCTGGTTGGATAATATTGTGAGCTTTAGATGATTCAAGGCTTTTCTTTTAAACTTCTCAGGCCATTTCGGAGGGACAATGAACATTGCTTTAACTGCCACAGGAATTGCACACCCCATTCTGAACAGGAAAGAGGAATGAGTGGTAACGTACTATAAACAGGGTGCCTCCTTGGCCAGCAGTGTGGCTTCTAAGAGCTCTGCAGACTGTATTACCTGGTGTGCCCAGGGTACATGGATGTCAATACTGGTTGGCCAAGTTTCTTAAATTCGGAAGCAGCGTGCTCATTCATGTTTGTATCTCCAGCCGCTGTGGCTTATCTGTTTAAATAAATGAATACAAAATACACTGGAGTTTGGCCTTGGATGGATATCACCACCCTTGGAGGGAAAGATTTCTCAGTTTCTCCCAATGACTACAAATGCACAAGTGAAAAACATCAAGCTTTTTCATTTGGAAAATACATAAGTTCCTGTTGTTTTAAGCTAGTGATTAAATGTGAGCTGGGGACCCAGAGCCCTCCCTCTGCCCCCCAGCAATCTAATTTAGGACTTTCCCATTTCTTACTTTACTGCTTAATCTAGACAACAACCACATAAAGCATACCCAAAAACGGAAGTTTCCTTTAATTGGTATTCAAGATCTCGTTTTTTGCTTAGAACTTTAATATTTAGAAAGAACATGGAGACAGCACTAATCGTGATTGTGTTCCATTGATAGGCATCTACAGACCGAAGAAGAAGGCCCTTTCTTCTTCCGTTGGTGAAGTGCATCCTGTCACTCATTTTCTCCATAAGCTCAGAGAAGTCTTCACTGCTTTCAGGTCAATGAGCATTCTCATCGTACCGTGACATGATGGGGTGGGGGTGGGGGTGGTTCTAAGATACACTACACAGAAGAAGTTTCGTAATCACAAGCTATGGAAAGGGGACATGCATGCTTAGCCTAGGTATTTTTACCATGAATTTCCCAACCTTGATTTGATTAAAATCACCTAAAACTGGACCAATTCGGATTTTTCAAGTTTAATTGTTCACTTTGAGGAAAACCTCAAGGCGTCATAAGAAGAGTAGCAGGGCGGAAAGAGAAGCAGGGACCCAGGTGCTTTGTACATCAGGAGGCCTGAGAAGTGAAGGGTAGATTGGATCAGAAGCAAAACCACAGCACAGTTTCTGTTCACTTGCTTTCAGAAAATCACTCAGGCTCTTCATACTGTCCTCTCCCGCCAGCTCTCCTGACTTTTTTTCCTCCTAAGATGCTGCTAGGGTAGATAATACCATCCAGCTCGGAAGATCCCTAGGGAAGAAGAGAAGCCTTCTGCTGGAGGAGTTTACCCCTGCCTGATATGTGCTGGGAATGAAGACACTGCCTGCCATGCTTGGGACTCCAGAGTTATTTAGGGAACTCTTAATCCTCCACCTGGGCCTCTGGAGCATCCGTGGTAAGGCACCTCCTAAGGGGACTTCTGGGTTTCTTCCTCAGTGTTCGTGTCTGTGATAGTTTTTCTCGGGCTTGCTTAGTGGAGAGGGATGTTTACGTGCAGGGGGTAACTCAGAGTAGTTGCCATTGCTTCTTGAAAATGCTAGAGGATGTGATTGAAAGCAGAACACCGTATTCACCTGCCTACAGAGCAGACACCGAGTCCATACCTTGGCCACGTTTCCTAAAAACATGCCCTGATGATAAGTAAGGATACTGCAGTGGATGTTATAAACATTTAGGTACTAATTTGTCACTACCGCTCGTGAGATCTCTCTGGCTGCCATACTAATGGGAAAGAAATCTCATGTTCTTTCCAAATGGATGTCAGTAGGATGCTGTAGTGTGTAATTGGGTGGGGAAGGTATTGGATCCTTGAGTTTACAGCTGTGGCCATGGTTACTGTCAAATGATGTTCAATCTCAGTGAAATCCCTCCTTGTTTCTGTGGGATGTACTATGAGAACACTGAGCAAACACCATGCTGTGAAGTAGAGGAGCAGAGCACTGGTGTTTCAGTTTTGTTGGATGAGATGATTTGCAAGTGGTTGCCAACTGAACATAGAAAACAATTCTCCATAGGTGACCCTGGCTCATCCCTGCAGAGCCTTTTTGTTAGCAAACCCTGCAGTTCCTTCTTTATCTTGCCATCTCTCGTGACTTTGCTCAGGAACCATGCATTGATTAGGGGAAAGACTGTGGAATGGTCAGCAGAAGTTTCTTATTCCTCAGTTAATTCTGGGCTCAAGGATATTTTAAGGAATTATCTCCCACCAGAGCACGTGTATCGCTTGGGCACATTTGTTTTAAATTGGAAAATCCAACCACTGAGGTCTTGTGGAATGTCATCTTGAATTCTAGAACTATGAAGTTCTAGAATTCAGCTCTGATGTCACTAGACCATATATCCAGGGGCAGAGTAAAACATCTCCTCAGTCATCCAAGCCCTCAGTTATTAGTGGTCCATCACATAGGTGCAACTGGAGTCAAACATTAAACTGAATCTATTTAATTCCAAGGGTCCTCTGTGTAATGAAGAAAAATTTTAATTCTGCATCACAGTTGGGCTGTACTCCATATTCTGTTCTTCCACCCAGTGTGCTATAACCTAGTGTTCATGTACATAAACTTGGTTATCAGAATTGGATTCTTTTTTTTTTTTTTTTTTTTGTTTCGAGACAGGGTTTCTCTGTGTAGCTTTGCACCTTCCCTGGGACTCACTTGGTAGTCCAGGCTGGCCTCGAACTCACAGAGATCCTCCTGGCTCTGCCTCCCAAGTGCTGGGATTAAAGGCGTGCGCCACCACCGTCCGGCCAGAATTGGATTCTTTATCGACTTTGTCACTTACATTATAGACTCAGTTTCTTTTCCTTTCTTAGCTCTCCTTTCAATTAAAAGCATATAATACTTATACCTAAAGATTGTCCCTTTGTTAGGTCTATAGTGCCTAGCTATAGTAAGTACATGAACTTAAAGCTTGATAAATGTTAATGATAATTTTGCTAACAGTTTTTATTTCATCAGTACCTCCCACAAAATCCAATTAAATGAGAATTGAGGTTTAACATGAACACTTTAAGTAATTCTGGTTTTAAGCTTTTTCATCCTTTTTAAAAAAATTGTCAAATACTATATGTATGAAGTATTATGTAAGGCTATAATGGAGGCATACATTGTAGAATGTTTAAATCAACTTGCCTATGACCGCGCATACTTATTATTTTAAATCTATCCAGTTATTAATTTTAAAATAGTTAGCTGCAGTCACTGTGCTATGACTAAAACTTTTTACTTCTGTTGAGCTTTGGCTTCATGCTTTGTGGTCAGTGTTTCTCTAATACTTGTTTCAAAGCTAAAATAATTAATAAAATATCTTGTGTGAAATTTTTAAACCCAAATGTAATGAATATATGTAGAAAATTAAATGGAAAGATTTAGGCATTGGCCAGATGTCTTATACAGTAGTTGATAAGGTGGATTACAGTGTTACTCAGGTTTAATTAATGGATTAGTAGATTACAGTGTCATTCATATTGAATTAATGGATTAGTGGATTACAGTGTTACTCTGCATTACAAATATAGGTTGGATGCTGGTGGTATGGCTCAGTGAGCAGTGGGTAGAGGTGCTTGCTGCCATACCTGAAAACTTGAGTTCAATCCCAGGGACTCACATGGTAGAAGGAGAGAATCAACTTCTGCATCCTGAAAGTTATCCTCTGACTTCTGTACAGATCAAACACACACACACACACACACACACACACACACACACACACACACACACACGATCCTGTGCACATTCACACATACACACACTAAATAAACAAATGCAATAAAATGTATTTTAAAATAATATAGGTTGAGAAAGGAGCATTTGGTGAGGTTTGAAAGTGTGGCTCAGTGATAGAGTGCTTGCCTAACATTCTTAGGCTCTGTTCTCAACACCCTGCTGTCCCCTCCCTCCAAAAGAAGAAAGCAAAAAGTAATCTTTGGTAATAAGGAATTATTCTGGACAAAAATGATGGTAGTTCCATCCCTTAAAATTATACTAATGACATAAAGAACCTTTATATATTGAAGAATTCCTGTGACTTTCAATAACTACTGAATTCTTTATAGTAGTGTATTCTCAAACTATTTAAGAATGGTTTAAACATATTTCCCCCAATTATAGTAATATGAAATGCTCATGAGGTGTGCTTTTTGTATTTCTCAAAAAAGAAAAATATAGAGAAACTCTCCCCTCAGTTTCAAGAACGTCATTTCCTCTCATGATGGAAATAGAGTATAAATATGATGCTAGAAAGTTCTGAGTGCAGGTGGAGATTGCTCCATCCTGAGGGCCTGGACCACTCATTCAGTTGAGGCTAACTGAGGACTTTAATTTGTGTGTGTGTGTGTGTGTGTGTGTGTGTGTGTGTGTGTGTGTGTGTGTGTTTGATCTGGAGTAAAGGCAGTACAAAATCTTTGATTGATCGTTGATTATTGTGATAAAAATAGTCATAATATGACCCAGCAAGGAGACATTTACAGATTTACAGCCTGGCTCTTTTGAGAACACCCTGCATAGAGAGTCATGTTGCCAACGTGGCCTTGCCTGTGTCTTCTTTCTCCTGAAGGTGAGCATTGTGATGTTGCTGTGTGGAGCCATTTTTAAATTGGGTCAGAGCAGACAGATGCTCTGAATCAGTCTATTACCCCTTGACAAGGTAACATGTCCTCATCTCACTTGAAAACGCTTTTAATTTTTAAATTTTTTTGTTGTATGTATTTGCATCTGCCATGCTGTGGATGACCATAGAGTCCAGTAAAAGGTATTAGATGCCCTGTAGTTTCAATTATAGTGGTTATGAGCTGCCTGATGTGGATGCAGGAAACTGAACTTGGGACCTCTGGAAGAACAGCAAGTGCTCTTACCTGCTGAGGTGTTTCTCCAGCCCCTCTCTGACGCATCTTCATGACTCTAGTCATTCCTGTTGAAAAGTTCACATGGAATCCTGGAAACAGAGCTGCATCTTTCCCCAAATTCCAAACACCTTTTGCGTATCATGAAAGTGTCTGGAACTTATGCAAATACCTAGAAAAAACATTCCTATGCTTCAGGATTTCCTGGATTGAGCACAATCATATTAAGCCATGTGCTGATTACATCCTTGAACTGACTCACTAATATTATTCAGCTCTTTAAATTACTGTTACTTCCTTTACTGCACTATAAAACTGCCCTCCATTGTATTACTGAAGTTGAAACTATTACCACACCTCCATGGGACTTTCCTATTTAGCTTCCATTACCTGCATGCTTGTTGGAAGAAAAATGCTGAAAAGTATTTGTAATGAGGTTCATATGATGCAATTGACTTTTTGCTTGATTTCTTGGACAATCTGTTGTGCAGTGGTTAAGAATGGATGTCTGGGTTTGGGGATTTAGCTCAGTGGTAGAGCGCTTACCTAGCAAGCACAAGGCCCTGGGTTCGGTCCTCAGCTCTGGGGGGGGGGGGGAATGGATGTCTGGAGACAGCCCAATCAGTCCATGGCTGTTACTTACTGGTTATATGACTACAGCAGCTCTAGTTCTCAATTCCTCATCTAAAAGAAGAAAACAGTCATGATGTTTCATTGAGGTGTTATGACGATTAAGTGCCTTGATTCTGTACAAATACCCAGAACGTTGTAGAGCACACTGTCAGTGCTGCGTAAATTCTGCTAAGAGTGATTATTTGTTATTGTTTTCTTCTGGTTCAAACTTTAATTAGCTTAATTGTTTCCTTAAGTGGTATTGGGAAGTGATATTTCTTTGAGGCTAGCAGACTCAGTAGTTCTCTATGTTATCTGTTATCATCTTCGGTCACAAGGAATGCCACCACACGTTATCTTTTTGAGAGTTAGTCAGTTTCTCCCACCCAGGTGTCATTTGTGATTTGTAATTCACTTTTCTCCAGTTCTCAGTTCTCTTACCTTGAAATTACTTAATATTGTGCCCCTGTCTTATATGCTTTGCACTTACGGTTTATTTATCCCATGATGTACATGTATGGATGTCATTCTTCATATCCTCAGAGTCTGATGTGTATATCCTTTGACACTCCTCTTAAACACAGGTCAGGGGACTGTCTGATGGACCATGTAGGACAGTCACAAACAAAACCAAGTTCATCTGGTAGGTCTCTCTAACACCTTTTCCTCTTCCCTAATTGCCATGTTCATCTAACAAACAGCCTGGAATTCACACCCATCAGCAATAGTCCATGGTTCAGAAATCATCAACAGGAGAAACATTCAGATTTTAGCTGGATGGTCACGACTCCTTTCACTTTCTTCTGTAGTCTTAGAAAAGGAAAGTGAACTGTGGGGAACAATTGGCAGGGTTTTCCCCCCACAAACCAACCTTGTTTTCCACAGGTCAGTCATACCTGGAATTGAGAGGCATTGAAGCTCAGTGTGTTGTTTCTGTAGCAGAC